TGTGGAGGATTTTTAAAAAATTAATATGAAACAAATATCAACCACGAACACAGAAAGAAAGAAGACAAGAGAGTTATGCTTACAAACAAATATACCATTTTTTTTATTTCTCTTCTTTCATTTAATTTGATCATTGGAGTAGGGAGGTACAGTTGGGCTTCCCTGTGTAACTGTTTTTATTTTTCTCAGTCTGTTAACTATTTTCTTAACCTTGATTTTTATTTTTTTTAGTGTTGACTGTTATCTAAGATGTATGCTATGCCAAGCAAACATAATTCTGCCCCATACTTTAAATTTACTTTTATTTATACAAAAGGGGTTTAGGTATTCCTATTTTAATGGAATAAAACAATAGTAACAGATTGTTAGTATTCAAGTTACCCCAGACCTAGTCAAGTTCAAATCAACATTGAATTGGAAACTTTTTTTCTGTCTTCCCCACCTCCCCCCCCCCTTTTTTTTTTCTGGAGACAGGGTCTTGCTATGCAGTCCTGGCTGGCCTTCATCTTTCTGTACTGACCAGCTAGCCAAAAGCTTGCTGAAATCCCCCTGTCTCTGCCTTCTGAGTACTAGGATTGTAGGTATATACCATCCATCATACTTGGCTGAACTGTATTCTTTTAAATAGTGCAGTTTGGGGCTGGACACGCCACTACTCAGAAGTCAGGGGCATGCCCTGCTCAGGTAAGGGACCCAGGTTCAGTTCCCAGACCCACACCGGGCATCCCACAGTCACTGGTAACTCTAACATCCGACATGGATGCCCAAACCCACCCACATACACACACATACACATAACTAAAAATAAAAATTTAAATACTGGCCAGGTAATGGTGACGAATGCCTTTAATCCCAGCACTCGGGAGACAGAGGCAGATGGCTCTCTCTCTTAGAGAGGCCAGCCTCGTCTACATAGCAAGTTCTAGACCAGCCACGGCTCCGTAGTCTTAACTGGCCCGGTTACTTGGGAGGCTGAGGCAGGAAGATCTAAACAGAAAGGAGAGATGGGTGCATGGTGCGTGGTGAGCTCCAGGCCACCTAAGCAACTTAGTAAGACTCTATCTCCAAACTAAAAGTACAATGAAGCTGGGAATATAGTTCAAAGGTACAGAGTTTGCCCAGTGTTTGTGAGGACTTAGATTCAACCACCACCCCTGCCCCCTCAAGAAGCGAAGCTCATGGTCTGTAACTTATATCTCACTGAATAAAACCACACATGGGACTCCCGTTCTGTTCTATTAGACTACACTGTTTCTTGGTCCTAGGACACAGTTCTTGGGTGGGGCTCCCACGGTAGCTGTCCATTTCGGGGATGGATAGCAGCTGCCTTGCTCTTTGGTTTTGGCAGCTGGGGTGCTTTGATGAACGGCTCCTTAGGGACAGCAGAAATGTCTCCAACTTTCTTTACCAGGCCCAGGACATCCTGAGGCTTAAAGACAAGCCCTTCTCCCTGGTGCTGGAGGAAGACGGCACGATCGTGGAGACGGAAGAATACTTCCAAGCCCTAGCGAGAGATACTGTGTTCATGGTCCTGCAGAAGGGGCAGAAGTGGAAGTCACTATCAGAACAGGTGATGGCCTCCCTGGGCAGGGGTGCGTGTGGAGAGCTTGAGAGGGGTCTTGGATGGGAGCTAACATGGGTTTATTTGTTGGTTTTTTTTTTTTTTTTTTTTTTTGTCTTGCAGTGCAAGAAGAGACCCCAGCTGTCCCTTTCCCAGAAGCCGGCTAAGAAGATCGACGTGGCCCAGGTCACTTTTGACCTGTACAAGTTGAACCCTCAGGACTTCATCGGCTGCTTGAACGTGAAGGCGACCCTCTATGACACATACTCACTTTCCTACGACCTGCACTGCTACAGGGCCAAGCGCATAGTGAAGTGAGTGAAGCCAGGGACAGGGTGGGAGGGACAAGAGACTGTCCGTCTGTCTGTCTGTCTGCCCAAAGCTGAACTCTCTCGGGGCTGGGTCGGCGCTGGGGCTAAGACAGCGACATCTGTGCAGGCATTATCTAAGTGACTTGATTTGCACTAGGGGGCGTGAGGGGTAGTTTTAAAGTTACTTTCTAGTATAGCAAAGTTCATTTTTTTGTTTGTTTTTTGAGACAGTTTCCTGTCCATCACAACAGGAGGGCTGGGGTTACAGTTACAGCTCTGCGTAACCTTGGCTGTCCTGGACTCCCTTTGTAAACCAGGGCTGTCCTCAAACTCACAGAGATCGGCTTGCCTCTGCCTCTGGGGTTACACCTAACAGGTGTGCACTACCGCACCCGGTATAAAGGGCATTTATTTCACCCCCCCCAAAATAAATTTCCCACAGTAGCTGACCAAGAAACTTTCTTTTGTGTGCTGGGCATAGAGCCCAGGGTCTCACTCCTGCTAAGCACACACTCAAGTCCTGAGCTGTTTCCACAGCTAATCATTTTTGTAACTAAACATGTAACTATAAACCGAGTACTTTGGAAATGGAGAATCAGGAGTTACGTAAGCCAGATACGGCCTTGTCTCAAAAAAAACAAAACCAGTGGAGAGATGGCTAAGCCCAGCTCCCACGTCAGCCAGCTCACAAGGGCTGTCAACCATGTTACTGCAGCTCCAAGGATCTGACGCCCTCTTCTGGCCTCTATGGGCACTGCACTCAGTACAGTTCAACCCTCCCATATATCTTGAAAAATACTTGAAAAATTAAAAATAAAATTTAAAAACACACAGAGAATAAAAGGTAATGTCAAGCTGTGGTCAGCTGAGTGATTTAGAGGTGTTACTTTGGTTTAAAAAAAATATTCTAACGGCCAAGCGGTATAGCATACGCTTTTAATCCCAGCATTCAGGAGGCAGAGGCAAATGAATCTCTATGAGTTCTAGGCTAGGCTGGTCTATATATCACATTCCAGGTCAGGGAGGGCTACACAGTGAGACCCCTCCTCAAAAAAAAATTTGTGCTAAAATCCGCACATCCTAAAATTTTCTGCTGTGGCCACTTTAAGTGTCTGACCCAGTAGCATGAAGTAACTGGCCTTGTGCAAGCATTGTCTCCATTCCCAGAAGGTTGGCAGCAGACAGCAGAAACTGTGCTCAGGACATAAGAGTTCTCAGTCCTCTCCCGAGACCCGCTAACCTTTATTCTACTCTCTGTCCTGCTGTTGATCTATCTTAGATACCTCATAGAAATGGGATCAAACAGTGTTTGTCCTTTCGGGACTGGCTTTTCCCACAAGAATTCTGTTTCCAAGGTTCACTCAATTGTAGAATATGCCAGATTTTCGTTCCTTTTGAAGACTGGTTGGTATATTCAGAGCCTCGCTTCTCCGATCTGAGAAATAACTTTGAAGGCACTGCATTAAAATGTATATGTAAAGTCAGACCTTATGGCACAAGCCTATAACCCCAGCTACTCAGGAGGTTGAGACAGGAGGATGGCAAATCAGAATGAGTTCAAGGCTAACCTGGGCAACTTGGTGAGATGTTGTCTCAAAAAAAAAAAAAAAAGTAAAAGGAAGCAGAGGCTATAGGTCAGTGGTAGAGTGATTCCCTAAGGCTCTGTGTCCAACCCCGCAGTTCCACAAAAAGAAACACACATACATGCTTAAACACACACACCTTCAGCGCTAGGGATTAAACCCAGGGCTTTTTACATGCTAAACAAGCACAATGTCACTAAATTACGCTTCTAGCCCTAATTATATATTTTCAATATTTATATCTTTTATTCTTTTTTTTGTCTTTTTCAAGAAAGGGTCTCTCTGTGTAGCCCTGGCTGTCCTGGGACTCAGTAGACCAGGCTGGCCTTGAACTCAGAGATCTGCCTGCCCTCTGCCTCCTGGGGGCTAGGATTAAAGGAGTGGGTCTTCATGCCCAGCCAGTCTTTATATCTTTATGTGTGTGTGTTATGTGAGTGAGTGTGAGCAGCCATGGGCTACAGTATGCATTTGGAAGTCGGGGAACAACCTAAGGTGCTGGTCTCCTCCTCCGCTTTGTTTGAGGAAGGGTCTTTTTGTTGTTTTTCTGCTGTATAGGTTAGGATTGCTGGCCTTAAAGCTTCAGGGAAGGCTCTTGTTTCTGTGTCCATCACAACAGGAGGGCTGGGGTTACAGCTACAGGGAACCATGCCCAGCTTTTTGCGGGCTCTCAGGTCCTCATGGTAGAAAGGCGAGCACTTTACCAACTGAGCCATCACCTCAGCTCCCTACGTACACACACACACACACACACACACACACACACACACACACACACACACACTTTTTTGAGACAGGGTGTTTTTATGTAGCCCTGGATGTCCTGGAACTCACTTTGTAGACCAGGTTAGCCTTGAACTCAGAGATCCATCTGCCTCTCCTTCCAGAGTGCTGGGTTTAAAGGCTCACACCACCGCTGCCCAGCAAATATTTTATTTCTAATATGTGTCTGCAAGAGAGTTTGTGCATGTGGTCCAGATACATGCTGAGGCCACAGGTGTCTGATCCCCTGGAGCTGGTATCATAGGCAGCTGTGAGCCTCCTGTCGTGGATGCTCGGAACCTAACTTGCGTCCTCTACAATAGCAGTACATGTTTTTTGTTGTTGTTGTTTAATTTTTAATTTTTTTCCTCACAATTTATTCATTATATATCCCAATTGAAGCCCCCTCCCTCACCTCCTCCCAGTTCTCCCCCTCCTTCCCTCTTTCACCCATCCCTTTCCCCTAGTCCACTGAAAAAAGAAATTCTCCACTATTGCCTTCTGCCCATTCATTGTTAAGTCTCATCAAGACTGCTTGGATCCTCTTCCTCCGTGGCCTGGCAAGGCTGCATCAAGTGATCAAAGAGCAGTCAACTGAGTTCATGATAGAGGCAGCCCCTGCTCCCCTCACTCAGAGATCCACATGGAGACTGAGCTGCCAGTTGGCCACATCTGAGCAGGATGTCTAAGTCTTCTCCATGCATGGTCCTCTGTTGGTGCATCAGTCTCTGCAGGAGCCCCTGGGCTCAGATCTTTTAGTTTTGTTGGTTTCCTTGTGGGGCTCCTGTCCCCTCCATGTCCCTCTATTCCCACCCCTGTCTTCCTCCATAAGACTCCCTGCACTCTGGTCCTGAGTCTCAGCATCTGCTTTGATCCCCTGTTGGGTGAAACCTTTCAGAGACCCTCTAGAGTAGACTCCCATCCTGTTTCCTCTCTTTCACCACTTCTGGTGTCTATCCTGTTTGCCATTCTGAAGGAGATTTAAGCATCCTCCATAGGGTCCTCCTTAGAGTTTAGCTTCTTTAGGTCTGTAGATGGCTGTCCTATATTATATGGCTAATATCCATACTTTTTAACATCAAGCCATCTCTCCAGCCCCTAAAATGTGAGCTGCTTATGGTTCTAAGTGTATTCTACTCCACTTGAACCCACCCAGAACATAAATCCACATCATGAATGAAGGTTAATACTAGTTAATTTAAAAAACATTTATTTGCTTAATGGGTATATGTATGAGTACATGCCTGCCATAGCATAAGAAGACAGGTTATCTCTGTCTTTGAAAAAATTACATTAAGCTGGGTGCGGTGGCACACACTTGTAATCCCAACACTCAGGGAGGCAGAGGAAGGTGGATCACTGTGAGTTCAAGGGCATCCAGGACAGCCAAGGCTACCCAAAGAAGCCCTGTCTCAAAAATCCAAAACAAAACAACAACAACAAAAAAACCTTAAGTGTGTGTGTGTGTGTGTGTGTGTGTGTGTGTTTCTGAGCTTGCTGGCCCAGAGCTTCCTTATGGCCTGAGTGTGGCCATCAGAGGACAGCCTTTGGGAGGCAGTTCTCTTTTTCCACCCTGTGGGTTTGGTAGAACTCGGATGACTGTGGTTGCAGCCACACGCACCGTGACTCACTGTCCATCTCTACAGCTCTGAGAAGACAAGTTCTACACTAGGTAGGAGCATTTACTGTTCTTGTGTTTTCTCCTGCTTATTGCTCTTAGACAAACCCCCCCCCCCCAGTGGCCCTCACTCAGCACCTGTAAACAGCTGTGGGAAAACTTGGGTTCAGTCAGCTGCTCACAACTACACTTCCGTTTCGTGTGTGTGTGTGTGTGTGTGTGTGTGTGGTATTTCAAGTCAGGGTTTCTCTGTGTGTAGTTTTGGTGGTCCTGGACCAGGTTCCAGGACCGCCAGAACTACACAGAAAAACCCTGTCTTGGAAAAACAAAACAAAACAAAGAAAGAGAAAAAAGAAGAGGCTTTGATTTGAGAACTCGAGTTAAGCGCAGGGAAAAGCAGAGGGTCCTGAAAAGCTGGCACAGGAGCAAAGGGAGGACTGTGTGCAGGAGGGTAGCCATGAGCCTGGTCCCAGTTCCTGTTGCCATCATTCCACTTCCTGATGCCATCATTCCACTTCCTGATGCTTAGATCTTCAAAAGGAGTGGTGGGGAATGTCTGTAAACCCAGTACTTAAGAGGCCAAGGCAGGAGGATTATTGACTTTATGACTTTATTTCCAGACTCTACCTCAAAAGGAGCCAAACCAAAATAGGTCTACGTGGTGGCACATGGTTGCAACAGCATTCAGGAGGCTGAGGCAGGAAGATTATTGTGAGTTCAAAGCCAGCTTGGGCTACTTAATGCATTCCTAGCTAACCTGAGCTACGGTGTGAGACTCTGTCTAAAAAAGAAAAGAAAAAGAGCTGGGCGTGCTGGCACATGCCTGTAATTCCAATACTGGGAGAGGTAGAGGCAGGCAGATTGCTGTGAGTTTGAGGGCAGCCTGGTCTGTAATGTCCAGGACAGCGTAGGCTGCACAGAGAGAAGAAGCCAGCTGCTTCAGGCCAGCATAGAAAAATGGAGAAAATATTTGGAGAGACAGGTACCTCTATGTTTGAACTAACGGCTCCTGTCTCCCAGGGAAATGCTTCGCTGGGCCCTCTTCAGCATGCAGGCCACAGGCCACATGCTGCTTGGCACCTCCAGTTACATGCAGCAGTTCCTGGATGCCACTGAGGAAGAACAGCCTTCCAAGGCCAAGACCTCCTCCTCCCTCCTCCCCTCCTGTCTGAAGATGCTGCAGTGAAGACCCACGTTCCCAGAGGCCTTCCCCAGCCAAGGATGTGCCTGCACTCTGCTAGTAGCTCCCACAAGCCTGGCAGCTGAAGAGCTTCTCACCTGCCCGCACCTCGCTCACAGCACAGCACCAAGGAAACCACGGGAAGGGCTGGAGCCCTGGGGTGGCCTGGCATGGCCCCTTCCCTTCTGTCTCAGGTAGCTTAGAGGACCTGTCTTGCCCTCTCTCCTCACGTGCTTGCCTAGGTGCCGCCCACTCTCTGGCATTGCCTCCTGCCCTGCGCATGCTCATTGTGCAGGACACGTTGCTACGGCGGCGTCCGTTATACCTTGGCCTCAGTCAAGACAACAAAATGAACCGCATGCCACAGTGACAGCGAGGTCTTTGGTTATGGTGCCAGAGTGCTTCACACTCTGTAGTAGAAAAAAGGAAGGGAGAATCGGGGTCCTCTTGCCTGGAGTTCCAACCGTTACTCCCGCCTACCCCCCCCCCAAGCTGTGTATGATCTTGGGGGATGCTACAGGATATAAGAGGTGGCTGTCATTGACGCAGATTTTGGGGGTCCTTACTTGTGCTAGGGAGGGACTTCCGGGTAATGCAGATGATTGTTGTCACCCAGGCCGCTCCTGTAAGTAACCCAGTAAGCTCACCGGTTCACCAAGCTGGACTTGGAGGGAATCGTGGCGTTGCCTGTCACTGGTGCTCTTTCTGGGCTAATGGGTGTAGTTCATGTTCTCCGGGGAAAAGTCAGACAATTCCCCCCCTTCCCCTCTTGTTCTCACTTTCCACTAATGTACAGTATTAGAATCTGCAGTAAATTATTTATGCTGAAACCTCATCTTTGCCTGTGTCCTTTGTGTGAAATCATCTGCCGGGATGTACAGGCGATAGCATTCCCAGGAGATAGCATTTCTCATTATTGGTATACCTGTGCATGAGTGTGTGTGTGTGCGCGTGCGTGCGTGTGTGTGCTTGTATTCCAGTACCGTGGTGCGGGTGTCGAGGTCAGAGAACCACTTAGTTCCCTTGTACATACCAGGGACTGACCTGAGGTTGGCAGACTTGCATAGCAATTGCTTTTATTGGCTGAGCTGTATCGGTGGCCCTGTTTGTTCTTTTAGATACAGTCTCATGTAGGCCAGGCTGGCTTCAAACTTGTTATGTGCTGAAGAAGGACCTGGGCCTTATGATCCTCTTGCTTCCACCTCCTGAGTGCTAGTATCACAAGCGTGAACCACCACTTCCAACTTGTGTGGCACTGTGGGTTGTATACTGGGCTGCCGGCATGCCTGGCAAATGCTCTACCAACTGAGCCACATCCTGGTCCCATTCCTTTTTACTATATAAGGTCCGGCATTGTGAGACACAACACATAAATGTTAAGATGAAAATCTGTAGTTGGTCTTCGAGGCCTGCCACGTGTGCTGTTTGGGCAGGCCATATAACGCATGGGTGTGTCAGTTCCCAAATGAAATTTGCCTGTCAGGCGGATCAAACCACTTTTTTGATCCCTGGCTCTGGTATCTTATAATACATTTCACGTGTTCGGGTTGAAAGGTTCCGGCCCATCTACAGGGTGATTTGTCAATGCCTGTGTGTGCAAGGGAGCTTGCACACAGATCCCTGTTCAAACTCGGCGCTTCTACCTTCAGGATTGCAAGGCGAGTCTCTAACCCAGCACAGTGACCCCAGCACCTGAAAAAAAAAAAAAAATGAACGCGTAAGAGAGCTCTGAGGAGGGAGAGTCAGGGGTAAGCCCTCATTTTTCAGTGACAGTTGACTCACATAAGCGAGAAAGACCAGGCCCATAGGAAGCCATGCTTCAGCCTGGCCCTCAGATCCAAAGCTTAACATAATTTCATAATCTTTCCTATAAAGCCTATTTGGATTTAGGAGACACTAAGACAAAGGGCCAAGTTACCCAAGCTTGTCTGCAAAGCTATTGCTGGCAGCTGTCCCATGCCTGGAGCCGTGTGTGAGCAGTCAAGTCCAGATCAAGTGTGCTTTCTCGTCTGGACCCTCCCATGATTGTGGCTGGAGGATGGCTCTGTGACAGTCTGCCTCCAGGGGCGGGCCTTCTGAAGGCCTGGTTTGCATCAGTCCTGTTTCCCATTGCTGAAGCCTGACCACACCTGCTCCAAAGTTGTGACTGAGCCAGAGGGGGCTGACGGGAGCTGGTGTTTGTCCTGGGCACAAGTTCAGCAGTTGACTGCTACTGCCATCTGGCACTGAGCCATCTCAGCCCAGGCAGTTTGGCTCCTCCTTTTCTTTCAAAAAGCTCAAAGCCCACTGGAGTGAAGGTAGCTGTGGGAAGGGAACAAGAGAGGGCAGCCTCCTATGCGGGCAGGGAGAGAGACCTCCAAAGAGGAAAGGAGCTACAGCCTCCAGAGGGCCAGGCACTGGTCCAAGTGGGGACATGGCCTTTCCTGAGGCCATGAACTATTGATGCAGGAGAGATCTGCTTAGCTGAGTGGGCCATGAACCAGCCTTTAGCTAGCCTCTCTCTTGCCACACAAAGTGGCCCGAGACTTTTTTGTATTTTTGATCTGTATTGCATGTGCACACCCTAGCACAAGTGTAGAGGACAAAGGATAACTTGTGGTTTGGTTCTCTCCTCCCACCATGTAGATCCTGGGGATTAAACACAGGTTGTCAGACTTGGCAACCATCTTTACTGGCTGAGCCATCTCACTAACCCTTATATGTATTTTAGACACTCTCACATGGCCCAGGCTGGCTTCAGACCTTATGTAGCCAAGGAGACCTGTGAACTCCTAATCCTCTGCCTCCACCTCCCCAGGGCTCTTCGCCTCGTCTGTTGTTCGTCCTTGCTCAAGCTGCTTCTGAGATATCTGCACAGGAGACCTCCCAGAAGGCTTCTGGAACAGCAATGGGCCTATGACAGAGCAGTTAGACACTCCTGCTGACGCCAGACAAGGAGAAACTACTTGCTTTTTTCTTTTTCTTCTTTTTTTGCCAGGTTCCTCACTGGTCCTTCCTGTGTTTTTGTGTTGTGTGTTGTGTCTATATTCTCTGTCTCTGTCTGTCTCTCGCCCTCATCTCTCTGTAGTCCTGGCTGTCCTAGAACTCATTATGTAGGATGGCCTCAAATTCACAGAGATCTGCCTGCCTCTGCTTCTCAAGTTCTAGGATTAATGTCATGTGTCACCATGCCCACCTATATTCTTTAAATTTGTTTTTTAGCTATATTCTTTAAATATAAGCCTTTAATCCCAGCACTTGGGAGGCACAGAGGTCAGCCTGTCTACAGAGTGAGTCTGGTACAGCCAAGGCTACACAGAGAAACCCTTTCTTGGAAAACAAAAACCTGAGTGATTTTAGGGCCATTGCCCTGTTGCTCTGGAATGCCTGGGAGATCCGAGTGGCCTGCAGGTGAGATAAGAAGAGGATGATGGTGTGTGAGGTAGTAACAGCTGCCTTTGCTTCAGTACAGCCTGCTTATCGATGTGAGAGAGGGATGAAATGGCCTTTTTATTACTATAGAGCAGGAAAATATGAAACAACTGGGGGAAGCAAGACAGTTTTCCCGCAGCTGTAATGCACATCTTTCTGACATCACCTTAAAACCTCACCTTAACCTCCCTTCCACACAGCCTTCTGTTTGGCTTAAGGCTGCTGTCTTTCTGCTAGCTTAAGAATAAACGCATTTAATCTAAATGTGCACTGAGTTTCTTCCAGTGGACTCAAGCATCCCTTAGGTCTAAGCACTCTAATGACTGGAGAGCAGTTCATTCTGGGCAGAGATAAACACAGTGTATCAGGTTAGGGCTGGCTGTCACGCGTCCTCACATCATCGCTCCTTCCACATTCACCTGCTTCCTGTTGTTACCACAAAACACCTGATACTAGCCTGCAGCTCTGGAGGAGAGTGCATGACTAGCGAGTTGGGGGCTCTGGATCCATCTGCAGCACTGAAAACAACCAAACAAACAAAAAACTCTGAAAGCTGATCATTACTGTGTTTATATCTATGGGGCGGAGGAGGTGGCTCAGTGGTTGAGAGGACTTGCTGCTGAGTTCAGTTCCCAGCACCCACCCGAAGCTCACAACTGCCCGTAACTCCAGCTCTGGAGAATCTGATGCTCACTTTTTGGCCTCTTGGGGCACCTGCACATCAGTGACATCCACTTGCACAGATACACAGGCACTTACACACAAATAAAAATAAAACACACACATACACGGGTTTGGAGCCAGCATCTACTTAGCATATGCAGGGACCTTTTTGGTGCACCCTAACATGGAGGAAGCTGTCCATGCTGAGGGAAAGGTTTTCTTTCCTCTCCTCTCCTCTCCAGAAAGCTGTTAATGCCATCTTCATAATCTCATCTAATTACTTTTATCTCCAAATAACATTAATATGAATTTGAAGCTGGGTGGTGGTTGCTCATGCCTTTGATCCCAGGACTCAGGAAGCAGAGGCAGGCTGATCTCTGTGAGTCCAAAGCCAACCTGGACAGGCCAAGGCAAATAAATAAATAATAAACAATAAATAATGCACAGCTGAACAGCTGACCTTCAGAGGACAAAATAACACAACTGTGGGCTGAGGGTTGTGGAGGAGGCAGAGGGAGGCTGCCTCTACATGGAGGAAGGGAAAGGAATCCCTCTGATTCCTCCACCAGAAGTAAGAGCCTAGTGCTGGAGTCCTTTCAGAAAGTCTTTCAGGTCTGGGGACATAGCTTGATGACAAAGACATTCTCTTGCTTTTTCCTCAAGTGATGGGGTTAAAGGTATGTGCCACCATGGCCCACTGCTTTAGAAGAAAAAAAAAAACTTGCTTTTTAATTTTCAATTATCAGTATTCATTATCTGTTTTTATTATGTGCCTATTGTTGCTTTTTGTATTTTATTTATTTTGGGGCTTTTTTTTTTTTTTTTTTTTTTTCCTGATATTTTGAGACAGGGTTTCTCTTTGTAATCCTGACTGTCCTGGAACTTGCTTATAAATCAAACTGGCCTCAAACTCTGTAACCGACCCGCTTCTCCTTTACAGGCTTGTACCACCAAGCCCAGCCTAACTCGATTTTCTTTTGATAGGACATTTTGTATCCCAGGCTAGTTTCCAATTCAGTCTGTATCTGTGATCTTAGGCTTCCTGACCTTCGTATGTAGTGCTGGGGATCGAACACAGAACCACATGCATCCAAGGTAAGCTCTCTACCGAACCTGATCCACAGCTTTGGGACGTTCTGTGTCACACGCAGGTGCTTTACAAGGGAGGTTTTCAGATTAAAGCTCCTGAGAATTGAAACGACAATCTGCAGGCTAGCTCATTTTTATTCTAAGACACGTCTTCTACCGCGAGTAAATAACTCTGCCTCGGGCCTCAGTTTTCCTCAAAGGCTGAGCCCTAAATGGCACGTTTTCTTGCACAGCGGAGCCAAAGCTCAGATCTTTCCTCCACTGAGCTCCGCCTGCTCGGCGCTTTGATTGACAGCCCACCCGACCAATCTGCTCACAGAGGATGCACGTCAGGGGAGGGAAGTGGGAGGAGCAGTCCTCGGATACGCGTGCGTACTGTGCTTGCTCACGTAATGGGAGCGCTGCGAGTTTGGTGTTGGGCTTCTGGGGTCTGGCGGCCGGGCCTGGGGACCTGCGCACGGCCGAGGGATGCAAGCTTCGGCACCGAGGCCCGGTGATTATAACACTCCACTTCCGTGTAGTGGGGAGGCAAAAATAAGGGGATGGCAATACGGCATTCAGATCAGGACATGGGTTCTCATCCCGACTGTGCTGTGATCCTTGGCGCCCTGAGCCTCCGATGTCTCTTCTGTAAAGTCTTCGGGGGCAGGTGGACCTTACCTGGCCCGGGAGTTCTAAGGCTTTTGTAAGAAGAGGCTAGGCTAGGCGGGGTGGACGGGGGAGGTACCGGTCTCTATTCTGTATCTCAGGCGTCGGCCTAAACCTCAAGGCTCCAGCAAGCGCAAGGACCGGGTCGAAGACCAGCCCTTCCCGGGGCTGCTGCGGACAGAGAACCTCAGCCAGGAGAAGCTAGCTGACGTGCTGAGGGCAGCTGTAGTGGATCAGAAAGGTGAGGGGAGCCTGCTGCTCTTGGCCACCGACACCCCTGGAGCCGGTATCTGCAGGCGCCCAGCCTGCAGTCACATTCCCTCTCCTAGCTTCACCGCCGTGAGAACAGACGTAGGGAAACTCCGCCCCACCCAGCGTTCTGAGACTTCTGAGTGACAGAAGTTAGTATTCTGTCGGAACAGGCTTTGGGGTTAGTTATAGCTGGGGTCTGAAAGCAGCATGCCTCTTGGTCTAGGTGGCTAGATGGCTGCTCTTGCCAACAGCCAGCACTCAGCACCCACATGGTACTTCTCAACTGTCTGTACGTTCATGCAGCTTCGCAGGATTGGGATAAACAGTGGTTCCCGCCTTAAGAGATCAAGCGTCCTCGTGTGAGAAATAATGAGGAATCACTGCTGTTTCCGGGTGTGGTGGCCTGGGAGTAGAGGCAAGGAGGATCAAGGGTTCAGGACCACACTTAGCTGTAAACAAGTTTGAGGCCAGCCTGTTTGTTGGAGTCCCTGTCTCAGTCAAGGACTGTAGGAGGGGCGCACATTATACCGAGGCATGGTGGAGCCGATGTGAATGAAAGCCTAGAACAGCAGTTGCAAAGGTTTTTTGCTTTTCCTGACGTCCATGGAATGTTTCAGGACCTCTGGTGACACTGAACAAGCCACAGGGTCTGCCTGTGACAGGTATGGGCATGGGCAGGGAGGGAGAGGCTGCCAGGGAGAGGAGATGGTTGGGTGGCGCTCTGCCAACCTGTCTTCTCCCTCCTAACCTCTCAGGGAGACCGGGAGAGCTGACGTTGCTGTCTGTGCTGCCACAGCTGAGCCAGGCCCTGGGGCTCGGACATCAGACGCTCCAGGTTGTGCGGGCACCTGGAAAGTAAGTGATGAGTGTGGGCATTATGTACAGCCACTGTCCATAAGTCTTATTCGAGTGCCTGGTACATGGTAGACCCTGGGACATTGGTGCTAACTCTTAGGGCATTTGGCTCTTTCTCTAGGGGCCAGAGAAAAGGCCTTATGACTTTGTTTCTCAGGAGGTCTGGACTCTAGTCCTGATGTTACTGTTTGGCCTTAAGCTGGTGTTCCTTTAATTTTGGGGATGAAGGGGCCACCCTTATAAGAATAAAAGATTTGTTTTTAAAAATTTTCCTCCCTTTGGTGGTTTTGAGACAGTGTTTTCCTGTTTAGCCTTGGCTGCCCTAGACTCACTTTGTAGACCAGGCTGGCCTCGAATTCACAGGTCCACCTGCCTCTGCCTCCCCAGGTGCTGGGGTTACAGGCATGCGCCACTGTTCAGGGCTTCAAAAGATTTGTTTTCAGTTACTGTGAGCATTTAGCCCACATGTGTATCTGTGTACCAGTGTTTGCCTGGTGCCCTCAGAGGCCAGAAGAGGGTGCCAGATCTCAAACTGGAATTGCAGACAGTTGCAAACCATCATGTGGCTGCTAGATGCTGGTCCTGTGCAAGAGCAGCCATCTAGACACCCCCACACACACGCCTTTTTTTTTTGTTAGACCAAGAGTCTTTATGTGACTTGTTCCCTTCTTCCAGGGAGGCTTCTGGGCTTGTACTCCTCTCCAGCTGTCCCCAAACAGCAAGCCACCTGCAGAAGTTCTTCGCCTACTCAAGGAGAGCCCAGAGGCCCACAGCCACCTACTGGTGAGAGGTGCGGGGTGACTGTCAGTGCTAGGGAAGGTCCCAGCTGGCTGCTCTGAGACCTCCTTTTTCCCTTTCTCAGTGCCGTCACTGATGGCATCCCTGAGCCTTCTGAGGGGTCAGTCCACGTGGCTCTGAAGCTGGAACGCATGGATGGCATCGATCTTGTAAGTCAGAGGCCAGCAGGGAAGAGTCATCCCTTCAGGTTTTGCCCTACAGAGGAGTCTGGGCTGGTACATGGGGTGGCTAGAACCGCTGTCCCCTAAAAGGCAAGTGACTGCTGCCTTTGCTGAGGCCCTGTCCTAAGTTTGCTTAGGACAACTCTGTTGAGTCATTCTTGTCTGGTACCCTAGGCAATCCCAGTGAAGTCCCCATCTCGAAAGGACATCCTGGAAGGTGTCAAGAGGACCCTCAGCCATTTCCAAGTGGTGGCCACGGGCTGTGGCTGTGCCCTGGTCCAGCTGCAGCCACTGTCAGGTGGGTCTGAACAGTACTCTGCCGGGGAGGAAGGTGGTGCTTAGCAACAGCCAGGGAGCATCTGGTGGACCCCCAGGGTAGGAGAGCGGGCTCAGCAGGAGGCAGCAGTTTTAGGTGCACACCCAGTCTAGCACCCGCCACATATTCTTGTTCTCAGAGGCTTTGGTTCTGTAGGGTCGAACCCGCAGGCTAGGTGGGTTACAAGCTGCCATTGTCCTGATCTGCTCATGGGCCTGTCTGTGGAGGCAGAGGACACCTCACAGATCCAGAGGCTCTGGGGAACGGGGGCAGTACTGCACGGTCAGGAAGAGCAGTGCCTCCCAACCCCCCGTCTCTCAGTTTTCCCCAGTCAGCTGCAGGTACACATGGTTCTGCAGCTCTGCCCAATTCTCGGAGACCACACCTACGCAGCGCGAGTAGGCACCGTTCTGGGCCAGCGCTTTCTGTGGCCAGCCGAGACTACCAAGCCCCAGGGACAGGTAGGTCCCCAGGCTCATATGCCTGCTCTGTGTGGGTTGAGAGAGCTCTGTGTCCCCAGACACCAGGCAATATTGGACTAGGAGGCGGCTGGCTTGGCCTCTGGGGCCACTTGTGTCCCTGTGGTACCATGTGGCTCAAACAAATGCCATACTCTCTCAGACCTTCTCTCCATGAGCTCAAGGAGGGGGGTAGCTGGCCTCTAATAGGCCCTGAGGTTCAACCATCCTTTTGAGCTGTTTGGGCATCATTTCCTCCTGTGTTGAGTCCAGTGAATGGGAGTGAAGCCAGCCACCTGGGAACCAGAGGAGAGTGGAGGTTTGTGTGAATTGGGGCTTTGAGGTCTACGCACATCCCCTCCCCTCCCATTGGCCAGAGGTGTAATAGCCTGGCTTCACTGAAGACAACTTGCCTGCCTGTGGAGAAAACTACTGTAGTTGCAGACCAGGGAGGTCCTACAGGTCTCCCTCTGTGTCCATCAGAGCTGGGTGCTCCTCTGGCTGGAACTCAGATGGCTGTTCTCTCCCCTCCCAGGTCCTGGATGAAGCCCTGCTCAGACACCTCCACCTGAGTCCTTCCCAGGTGGCCCAGCAGCCCTTGCATCTGCACCTGCACCGCCTCCTCCTCCCGGGCACCAGATCCAGGGATCCCCCCAGTGAACTTCTGGCACCCCTGCCCCCTTACTTCTCTCGGACCCTGCAGTGCCTGCGGCTCTCCCAACAATTAATAGGCTGTCTCTGACCCCCGGTTGGAAATGGAAATAGAAAGTAGAAGGGCTGTGGCCCAGCTCAAGGACAGTGGGACAGTGAGGTTGGTGCTGAGTACAGTCAAGGTCCTGGGCTCCTTGGTCTGACAAACCTAAGATCAAATCCCAGTGAGGCCACTTGCTTGCTGTGTGGCTTTGGGCAATTTGAGTTCTCTCTGGACTTAAAATAATAAAAGTTCTACCTCACAGGCTCGTTTACCAAAAATAAGAAAGCAAATGTTCACCAGGGACTCTGGCTCAAGTGAACTGTGGCCGGGTTAGGAGGTGGCATCCGCTCTTCTCCTGGCCAGGAAGTTTGTTTTTGAGACCGGGTCTTTCCCTGTATCTCTGGCTGGACTGGATGTCAGCGTCGCCCACCTCTGCCTCCTGAGCACTGGGATGTCAGGTGTGAACCACTGTACAGGATGAGCTCTTCTAACCTCAGGGGACACTGCCCACTGAATTTCAACACCCTGCTTTGCCCACAACACATTCACAGGCAGATCTGCTTTTGGAGGGTCAGGAGCCAAACCTTCTCAGGGAGGGAATGCTATGGGTCACTTAGGTGTGTTTTTTGGGTCTTCTAGTTTTAGGAGGCTGGATTTCCTCCTCACTGAGGGAAGGAACAGCCCTATACTCTCTAGAGAAGGGCTGAGGTTTAGGGAAAGCCCATGTCTTGTCATGATGCTCTTTGCCCATCAGAAGCCGTTCTGCTAACCCAGCTTGTCTCTGGGAGAGGGCCCTTCCTGATGGTTAGCCTTCCACATACTGCCATTTGGTCTCAGGCAGGCCATGTTCAGACTCAGTTTCCTCATCTGTATAGTGAAGGCTCTTCCCCGACCGACCCTAAGACTTCCTGCAGAGAAAGCTAATGCCCATTACTAGGTGGGCCTTGCTGATGGAGGCCCTGATAAACAACTCTTGTTCTGAACATTGCCTCAGTTATTCAAACCAAACCCAGAGAACTTTACTTAGCTTTTTTAAAATTATTATTATTTGATGCTGGGTCCAGGATGGGGTAGCGAAAATCAGAGCAGGAGTTTCTCTAGCCTCATAGCCCCCTTGGTCCTCAGTCTCTGGGACTTCAAAATAAAAGTCAAGGGATTGGAGAGGTTCAGCCACTTGTTGGGGTATGCCTCAACCCTGGGTTTGTCGAAGAGTTTGGCCTTGAACTTGCCTTTGGCCTTGACTTTCCTGTGGGTTCTAGGAAGAGGTCCAACTTCAAAGGGCAGAGGATACGAGGCACATCCAAAGTGGGGGCCTCGAAGGTTCAAGGGAATAGTAGCCTCGGTGTAAAGGAGGGGAGGGAGAGAGATGATCAGGCCTCTGTCTTGGAGCAGGGTTCTGGAGAAGACAAGCCCTTCCCTGGGGCGCTGCATGGTCTGGGTTCTGCCCTCTGCCTATGCCCTTTAGCTGGGATCCCACTGCTCAGCATTACCCTCCAGGGTGTGAGGCATAGCTCTAGGCCCACCTTTCCTGGCTTCAGCATGCTGGGTGCCACCTTGAGGTCACAGTGAGGTGGTAAGGACATCAGAACCTTGGCAGTAGGTAGAGTCATCAAGGCCTTGCCTGTGGTTGACAGAGCCTCAGAGCCCACCAGCTGGCCATGCTGTAGTCTGAGGACCTGGCTCTGGGGTTGGAGCACACGGGGAGAAGGCAGCCAGGCCTTGTCATAGATGCTAGGGAAGTGGGAAGGGTCTGTGGGAGAAGGGAAGCTGTGAGGATCTGAGCAAGGCCCCAGGCTAACCCGCTGTCCCCCAGGGTATGTGCAGAGGCAGGGGATGGGAGGCAAGTGCAGATGGAGCCCCTCCCAGCGCCTCCTCCTCCTCCTCCAGAGGTAGTGGAAAGACATAGGGTTGGGGTTCCAACAGACCTGGGTCTGCATACAAACTCTGCCCCTTCTGAGCTGTGTAACCTCAGGCAGCGTCCTTATACTTCCTGCTACCTCGGCTGGAAAATGGGGTTAATAGCACCTACCTCAACAGGGTGTTGTGAGGGCTTAAGGGAGCTGGGTTGGGGAGCGAGAAGGGCATTGTGGTAGCACCTTTCCCCAAAGAAGTATGAGGGCAAAGGCTGGCTAGAGCAGCAGCTGAGGTTTGGACTCCGGGAACGCGCACTCTAGAACCAAGCCTTGGCATCATCTGGGCTACCTGCCTGGCAAGGTGACTACTTTAGAATACTCATTTGGTTGTATATTTAAAGATAATTGGTGAGCAGTGTTCATACTTGCCATCACTGGTGGCCTTTTGGCAGGAGGGCAAGCCCAGTTACTTGGGAAAGGCTTGGAGAACAGGTAGAAATGGCCTTGGTAGCACTGGGGTATTTGGAGTGCATAGTATTACCCCAGGCCTCATGCTGTTTCAGAACCTTCAACCTATTGGAAATGTGGTCCACCCTGATACTGGGGGGCTCCCACTTCTGGATGGTGAGGCAGACCAGGGTTGTGGCACTTTTTGGCTTGCCTTTCTTCCCCTTTCCAGGGACCGAGATGGTGGCAGTAGAGTCTTGCTTCTCCTTCTCAGTGTGTCCCGAGCTCCTGGCGCAAGCGTCTTTCCTAGAAGCTGACCTGTAGGTAGGGGACCCTGAGTCCTTGCCTTCCCCAGAGCCTTGCTGGGCCAGCAGATGAGGGAGTGATGAGCGGACCCCTGTCCGCCGATGACTCATGGGCTTCTTGATGGTAGAGCCCTCCACCAAAAGCCGGATTCCCACATACTGGGGCACCTCTACAGCAGGCTGTAGGCAGGAGAGAAAACAAGGCCATCTCAGATACTGGTGCTGGAATCAGGGCCCAAGGCAGAGGTGAGAAACAGGAAGCCTCCTCTATTTTCAAGGGGCCCAGGGGACCTACAAGCCACAGACCTCTAGGGAACAAGAAGCCAGGGAAGCAGAGAATCATAGCCGTGCAGACAAAGCCACCCCACTACCCATCCAAGACAACCTCTGGTCTCTGTTAGAATGCAAGTGGTTTCAGACTATGGGTAGCCAGAGATGGGCAGAACTGAGCCATAGCTTTTCTATGTGGCAATGTAATTTGCATTGTGAACACCAAGATGAGAGAGGCCTCTAAGGTTAGAGTAGCCTCTTCCCCCTACACCCAGAAACAGGGTTTCTCTGTGTAGCCTTGGCTGTCCTGGGTTTGCTTTGTAGACCAGGCTGGCCTTGAACACACAGAGATCTACTTGCCTCCGCCTTACAGAGTCCTGGGATTATAGGCGTGTGCCACCACACCAGGCTTAGAGTAGCTTTCTAAGAATAGGGACAGTTATAAGCAGTTGTGAGCTTCTGGACTTGGGTACTAGAACCCAAAGTTGTGTCATCTTTAAGAGCAGCAAGTACTTTTAACTGCTGAGCCATCTCCAGCCCAACTTATTTTCTTTATAACTTATATTGTCTATGACAGTGGTTTTCAACCTTTAATACAGTTTAATATAATTCATGTTGTAGTGATCCCCAACCATAAAACTATTTCATTGCTACTTTATAACTGTAATTTTGCTACAGTTATGATTATAATGTAAATATCTGATATGCAGGATAGCTGATATGTGACCCCTGTGAAGAGGTCATTTGACCCCCAAAGGGGTCATAACCCAAAGGTGGAGAACCACTGGTCTGCAGCATTTTATTATTAGCAACAGAAAATGGACAGATACAGAAAGTACTTTGTAATTTTGGAAGAAGAGACAGTGTTGAGTTGGGTAAAGACACTTGCTTGAGTTCAATCCCCAAAACCAATGGGGTAGAAGGAGAGAACTGACTCCCACAAGTTGTCTTCTGACAACCGCACCCGTATATACACAAACTCCAACACAATAAGTAATATGATAAAAAATGATGCCAGCCACCTTAGCCCAAGTCAAATTTGGCACCAGGAATTAGCAGTCTGGTTGTGCCTGTGACAGTCACATGAGGTGCCCAGCACCACTTCTTAAGTGTTCTTTGCCAAATATCTCTACCCTGAACCCCATCAAGTTGTTGACCTATCTTCTACTTTACAGGACTCTCAGAGAACAGATGGAACACCACAGGGAGACAATCAGATAAAACAAAATGTGGGACAGAGCTACAGGCCAGCCAGCTTGGTCTTCAAAGGACCAGGACACCAGGAAGAAAACAGCAGAGCTATCTGTCCTAGATCAAAGGAGATCAGGGAGACAAAGCCACCAGTGTAGCCACCTTAGGTGCATGTCAGCCCTCAAAAAACAAATCAGCAGTAACCTGAAAAAACCGCATGGGCTTTTGCCAAGCCTGGGTCAATCTCTCCAGGCACCCGGCCACTCAGCTTTTCTGTTGTTGTTCTGAGACAAGGTTTCATGTAGCTCAGGCTGGCCTCAAGCTCACTGTATAGCCAAGGATGACCTTCAATTCATCTTCCTGCCGGGTACAGTGGTACACACCTTTGATCTCAGCACTCAGGAGGGAGAGGCAGAGGCAGGTGAGTTCAAGGTCAGTCTGGTGTACAAATACAAAATAAGGCCAGGACAGCCAGGGCTCTTGTTATACAGAGAAACTCTGTCTCAAAAACAAAAACCAACCAAACAACCAAACAAACAACCTCATCCTTCTGCCTAAATCTCCTAAATGATGGGATTACAGGTGCGTGTTGTCATGCCCTGTGCAAACTGTGCTCAATTTTAAACTGCAGAGCACTTCCTCCTCCCCATTTCCTCTGTTCTCTTCCAAGATGACATTGTTTATTACATTATTACTGAAGCCCTGGCTGAACTGACATTCGCTATGTCAACCAGGCTGACTGGGACCTTGTGACAATCCTCCACCCTTTGTTGCCCGAGTGCTGGGATCATCAGTGTCTATGGATGTGTATACGGTGTCTATGTATATGCTTATCTTCCCTCCATTTACATTTTAAGCTGAAGCTGTAGCTCGGTGGTGCTGCACACGCCTAGCATGCAGGCCCTAGATTCTATCCCTAACTCCTAGGGCTAAAGTTCCTAACAAAGACTACACCTAATTGCCAGTTCTAAGCCAGTTTGGTTCTCAACCTTCCCAATGCTGTGACCCTTTAATAGAGTTCCTCAGGTTGTGGTGACCCCAACCATAAAATTATTTTCATTGCCGCTTCATAACTGTAATTTTATGACTGTTATAAACTGTAATGTAGATATCTGATATGCAAATGGTCTTAGGTCCCGTGAAAAGGTCATTTGATAAAACAAAGGGTTCGCAACTCACAGGTTGAGAACCGCTGTTTTAATAATCAGAACTGTAAGAAACACAAGACCACTTAGGTTACATGGTTGGTGTTTTGCCTTCCTGTAGTAAATCTAGACCTCGAATTCTAGCTGTGAGATCCTACCTAAAATTTGCTCTCAGAATTCAGAAACCCTTAAAAACATTCTTTTAAAGTTGTGTTTGTATGGTTGCTGTTTTGAAATAGGGCCTCACTCTGTAACCGAAGCCTCTCTGAATAAGAGGAGGCATAAGGTGGGAGTCTTACGTCCAGCTCTGATGCTAATCTAAGTCTTTGACTGGACTGGGAAAGCCTAGGGTATTTGTAAAGCATGCCCTGGTGTGTCCCTAAGGGCGTTTCTAGAACCAATTAGTCCATGAGAGCTTTGGCCTAATGGAGGATGTCATCATTTGGTGGATTCAGAATTCTGATAAACTACTGGGAGACTATAGCACTATGGAAAGTGAGGCTTGGTTAGATATTTTATTGCCAAGCTGGGTTGATGACTCATATCTATAACCTTAGTACTTGAGAGGCTTCAAGCAGAAGAAATGCTATGAGTTCCAGGTCTGCCTAGGCTATACAGAGTGAGCCCCTGTCTCAAAACCTAAAAAAACAAAACAAAACAAAAAAAAAATCAATGTTTTTGGCTGATTTAAAAAAAAAAATTCCTGTAACTTATAAAATAAGCAAGATCAAATCTGCTTTTGGAAAAAAATGAATAACACAATAATTATTATAACAACAGATATTACTAATTGACTCGACAGGCCTTGGAGTTGATGGAGCTATCATCAGCCTTCCTGAGTAAGCATAGTAGCTAAAGCTGTTCTCTCTGTCCTCTTGTCTAGGCACCCTAACAAAGCCCTGTGCACAGATAAAACCACTTCCTTCTCACAGCACATAAAGGAGGAGCCAGTTACAGTCTTATTTTGCAGACAGGAGGCTAGTGGCTTGAAATCTCAACGGGAAACTGAGGAGATCCTGGAGCCTCTGAAAATATCTATGAATACAAACTCATGGCATTAATGACTCTCAGAGAACAGTAACCTCCAGGTCAGAAATGAGACAGGCCAGAGGGAAGTGTCTGTGTGAAGCCACCCTGTGGGGGTCCGGCCGGGAACCCAGGTCCTGACCGATGTCGCAGAGCAGACCCCCCCAGTGCTTCACTGTGGGGTTGCCTGTGGGAAGTGCTGTGGCGTCTCACCTGCTTATAGATGAGCTCAAAGGCTCCCGTGTCACAGCTTCGGTCCAGTCGACGGTCGATGACCACGCGCAGCGTGTCTGCTTGCACACCAGCACAGAGGCGAGCTGTGACAGCTGTGGAAGGCGCCATGGTGGGACTGGCATTGATTTCAATCAACCAAGGTCGGAAGTCTTCCCCAAACACGAAGTCGGCCCCGTAGAGCTCGAAGCTGGCCTTCCGGCACTGGACAGTGTCTTGGGAGGTCTGCAGGGCGTGGATCACAGCGGCCTTCATGCCAGGCACAATGATATTGGACCAGGCATTTGGGGCGCCCACCTCCTGCAAGTGTGACTGAAACCTCTGGCTGGACCACATGTTGTCTAGAGGCAGCAATGGGTGCCGGTGAATGGAGGCCTCCAAGTGTCTCTGGATGGAGTTGTTGCACAGGTGCACGGAGCTAGAGTGGGACAGAGACAGAGACTCAGCCCTGGAGCCCCACACCCAATCTCAGGGCTGCAGAGTCCTGGGGTCAGCCATCCTGGTGAGCTCAACTGAGATGGGCCTCTGCTGGAAGATCAATAGGACAGAATACCTCCAACCCCTTCACCTAAGGCCAGGGCCAGTCGTTTCTTGGAACACTCAGCTGTTGCAGATGAGCTACCGTAGCAAGCACTTTGGGCCTGGCCCCAGTTCACCCTTCCTGTGCGGGGCAGGGAATAACACAGGGAGAGGATGACCCTGAGTGGGCATCTCTCAGCTTTACCACTAGCTGTGTATCCCAGGCAAGCCACTGAACCTGCTTGCCTCCATATCTCTAAAATGGCAATACCCCACTTCATCGTGTTTGAGAAATGACATGATACAACCCAGCAGAAGCACTGATGGCATGAATCTACACTGTAACACTGCTCCAGCCTTCAGATGTGGAGACTTTTTCTTTGAAATGGTCTCACATAGGCCAGGCAAGATTCAAACTCACCACTGAGAATGACAGTTTACACCAGATTATCCTGCCTCCGCCTTCCAAATGTTAGCATTTGCAGGCATCTACTACTGTACCTGGCCTGATTTTGGCTCCTGTCTTGGCCTCCCAAGTTCTGGGATTACAGTTAAGAGCTACCACACCTGGCTTGTTTCATGTTGAGCGGGGGTTCTCACTACATAACCCAGGATATCCTCAAACTCACAATCCTCCTATCCAGCCTCTCAAGTGCTGGGATTACAGATGTGGATCCCTGCGTCCTGCTGGAAACGGAGGCTTAAGTAGTTTTTAACTTCTCCAGAGGCACACAACTTGATGTTGCATAGATGGAATTTGAACCAGGCCTCACCAAGGTTTCTTCTCATCCCGTGAGCAAACCACAAGTTGCCTTTCCTCTCTCAAGTTTCTTTTAATCTGCCTTTACCCAGATCAACATTTTCTTTGTAACACATCACCCTCTATCCCAGCAGTTTTCAACCTATGGGTCGTGACCCCTTTTTACAGGGGTCACCTAAGACCATCAGAAAACATACATTACAATCTGTAACAGTAGCAAAATTACACTTATGAAGTAGCAACAGAAATAATTTTATAGTAGGGGTCACCACAACATGAGGAACTGTATTAAAGGGTCACAGCATCAGGAAGGTTGAGAACAACTGTTCTAGTCTGTTAGTCATAACTACTCAAGCTCATTGTTAAGATGTAAGCCCTCGAGAGCTGGGATCTTGTTTTGTTCATTTCTGTATCCCAAGGGCACCCTGTCGGCAAGCTCCTGAAAGGTGGAAAGTCTGCCTCCCCACCTATAGAGTCTGTGGTCTGAAACCCAGCCTGGCTCTTAAGAGTCCACTGCTCTGTCTGCTGACCTCCACAAGACCGGGCAGTCGGGGGAGGCGGAGGGAGGGCTCACTTGTCTAGGTTCTTCAGGGAGAAGGGCTGCGTGGAGAAGCGGATGTAGCTGTCTCGGTAGAACCACACAGTGAGTGGGTTCCAGTCAGTCACCAGGAACCACTGTCTCAGGTCAAACTTGGTGCCGAAGATGAGCAGGGGCCGCTCAATGTACTTCTGCACAATCCACTTGCCATCCTTCATCATCATGGGGTTGCAGTCCACCAGCTTCAGCATCTCTTCCAGGTGGTCCATACACACAATTCCTGAGGGGGGAGACGAGGCAGTCAGGGACCAAGAGGTCAGGCCATGGTTGGGAGAAGTGCCACAGGACCATGGGTGTCCCGTTATAGGCTCACATCCCTACAGAATCCGGACGAACCTTAAAAATAAACTCTTGGGTGGGATTGGGAGGGAAAGAGGGAAGGGGCTACGACTGGGATACAAGTGAATGACCTGTGATTAAAATACAATAAATAAATAAATAAAATAAAATGGAAAAGAAAAGAAAAAAAATAAACTCTCATCCCCACAGAATACAGCTGAACCTTAAGGCTGCTCCCCACCCCAGTCAGAATCAGCTTCCCTCTAGCAAAACAAAGATTTTTTTTTTTAAATTCTAATTAACTGTTTAACTCGGGGTGGGGTGGGGGCTGGAGAGGTGGCCCAACATTAAGAGCACTTGCTGTTCTTGCAGAGGGTCCCAGCACTCTTATGACATAAACTCCAGTTTCCAGGTGATCTGGCCCCCTCTTCTGGCCTCCATGGGCAGCAGGCACACACACAGTGCACACATGTACAAGAAGGTAAGACACATGCACATAAAATTAAAAGAGAAATAAGGGCACAATGGCTCAGTGGGTAAAAGCACTTGTCACGGGCTGACTGCCTGAGCTGGGTTCCTAGAACAGAGAGAGCCCTGTAAGTTGTCCTCTCATATCCTGTTGACCATGTACATGTATTATTTTTCTCCAATGATTAAGAGACTAGGAAACTGAAAGGCATACCAAAACCTCCCACTCACTGTCCGGGGTGAAGCCAGCTGCTGTGCCAGATCCTATGAGAGCTTTCGTTACATGGCTATCTGTGCCTTGCTTTCATAGGCTCCGATGGAGCTCAGCAAGGCCATGGGTGAAGCTGGGCCTCAGCAGAAACCACCTCACCTTGTTACTAGCCACCTGCACAACTGACTCTGGCTCCAGCCTCACATATCCAAGGACGTGTACTTTCTTACCTTTGTTGTTGTTGTTTTGTTTTTGTTTTTCGAGACAAGGTTTCTCTGTGTAACAGAGCCCTGGCTGTTCTGGACTCACTTTGTAGGCTAGTTGGCCTTAACATCTTTCTTCTCTCTCTCTCAGACAGGGTCTCACTATGTAGCTCTGGCTGTCTTAAAACTATGTAAGCCAGGCCGGCCTCAAACTTACAGAGATCCACCCGCCTCTGCCTCCCAAGTGCTGGGATTATAGGCTTGTGTCACTATGCCCAGCTTGTTTACCCTCTCTCGCTTTTTTCATCCTTTTATTTATTTTGTGACAGGATCTTATGGAGTTCAGGCTGGCCTCATGCTTACTGCATAGCCAAGGCTGGCCTTCAACGATGCTTTTGTTTCTACCTGGGACTATAATCAAGTGATTGGGGCACAGATGCTCTTTCCTGTTTATTTTTATGTGTATACGTGTGTTTTCTGGATCTCCTGGGACTGGAGATCCAGTCTGTTCGCTCTGTGACACTTCACTCACCTGTACATTTACATGTAGACTTTTTGTTTCAATAAAGAATATCATTACAAGCTTTCTATCTCTCGGGAGGCCTTCTGCAGTCTTTAAAGGCCGGGCTGAAGCTGGGCTCTCCTGTGCACACAGTGGATACTCTGAAGTGATTCGATGAAGGGGAGGCCCCAGAAAAGGTCTTACAGGTAGAGAGAGGCAGGGAAATCAATGCCGGTGGGGTGACCCCCCCACCGACCAAGCACCGCTGAGTAGCAGGTATGAGCTGCATTTAGCCTTTACCTGACGGGAAGCCCTGGTGCCATCCCCACTGAGGTAACTGAGGTTCAGAGAGGCGGACTGACTTGTCACACAGCATGTTAGTAACAGGGCTGAGAGACAAACCTGGCAGTGGGGCAGTCTCTGCGCGATTAACCTCCTTGGCTCCTAGTAGTGGATAAAGGTACTAAACCCTGGAAGAAGAGGTTGCTCCCCCACCTCGGCCACGGGACTTGGCTCCCGGCTTCACAATCCAGATGTTTCGATCCCCTTCCATCTCTATCTGGGGTACCACGGCCTGAAGCTGATGCAGGATGTCTTCAGAGCGCTGGACCTGGGTCTCCAGGTATTTGAGTTCTGCTCCTTCACTGTGTGGAGACAGTGGGACTTGGGGTGGGTGGGGGTTGGGACCAGATGAGAGGATAGGATAATCGGAGACATACCCCTCCCTCTTCCCCTCCCCCAGCTGTGCTCTAAACTGCTTTGGTCACACCTGTCCCTGAAACACTAGATAAGTCTCTCCTTAATCCCCACCCTCAAGTCACCCAGTGCCCGCTAACCTATCCAGACCACACCCCACCCCATCTATACTCCATCTTTTGACATCTTCATTCCTAATGAACACGGGGCAGCACCCTCTAGCACTAAGCCAAGCACCCTGCCAAGGACTTCCCATCATTCCGCTTTATCCTCTCAGCAGCTCTCTAGGGAAATATTAACTAGCCAGCTTTAGGGAAGTATAAACGGAAGCTGGGGAAGCTCAGGGGCCTGTCCGAGGCTACAACACACCAGGTGGCGTGACTGAGCCAGGGTGCAAATACGCCTGACTGCTTCCTCGTTGATGTCCAAAGGTGCATTCAGAGGTCCACACTCCTAATCTGGACTTAACACTAGTTGAGAATCAGTCCTTTCTCAGCCTGAGCCTGCTCGGGCTTGACTCACCATGATTCGCTTCCCTCCCGTCACGTACCCTCCCATGACACACAGCCACTTATTCAGCCAGGCCTTTCTAGTGTGTGGTGCTGGGGCTTGAACACAGAGCCAGCTCATTCAGCCAGCAGACTTTTGGAGAGGGCCTGCTGAGTGGCAGGGGTTGAGGTGGAGAGTGAGGCGCAGCAGAGAACACCCCCACCCCGCAGCTGACCACCCTGCAGGCTCCACTTGCGGCTCAGAGGAGAATGTGTGCTCAGCCGAGCTGGCTCTGTGTTCAAGCCCCAGCACCACACACTAGAAAGACCTGGCTGAATAAGTGGCTGTGTGTCATGGGAGGGTACATGACGGGAGGGAAGCAAATCATGGTGAGATGGGGTACAGTCAAGCCCGAGCAGGCTCAGGCTGAGAAAGGACTTGGGAGGAAGCTGGCCTAGACATACAAAGGCTCATAGGAAAGGAGGCCCTGCTCCTTACAGGATGGTCAGTGTCCTCAGCGATATGCCGCCCCAGATGGCTGCCTCATTTAAACTTCTGGACAACAAAGATGCCTCCCTAGGAGGCAACCCTGACCTCCACCACCGTTAGCTTTCTTCTTATGAGAGGCATCAAGAATTCCACAGGGTTGTCCTCTGACAGTCATAGCACACAGTAGCTCAAGAAAAAGAAAGAGGAAAAGAAGAAGAAGAAGAAGAAGAAGAAGAAGAAGAAGAAGAAGAAGAAGAAGAAGAAGAAGAAGAAGAAGAAGAAGAAGAAGAAGAAGAAGGCGGCTGCCTTAGGGCTGGGGTAGCTCACTTAGTAAAGCACTTGCCTGAAGCTGGGGTCCTGAGTTCTACCCCATCACTGTAAAAATGACAAGTGGCTTTATGTTTCCTGCCACTAGGGAAAAGCATAGGATTACCTTGCTGTCATTTTCTGCTATTTAGAAAAAAGACCCTAGTTATTTGCTACAGCGGTGGGTCTTTGGATTACATCATTTATTCAAAGCTTGTTCTGTTTCTCTCTGTTCACACCACCCCCACTTTTGAGACCCTCAGCGCTTCCACCTGGCTTGCTGCAAGCCTCCCACCCAAGTGTGGTGCCCCTGCAGAGCTTTGGCTCTGGAGCCGGGCTCACCAAGTGCTCGCCACATTCTTCTGCTGGCAGATAATGCAACCTGCCTCCACTGCTCAAGAGCCTTTGCCCAAAGAGAGCTCCAAAACATCACCCCTATTCACTCCCTCCCCAATCCTCTTGTTGTTATTGGGTGGTGGTGGTGGTTTTTCAAGACAGGATTTTTCTGTGTAACAGCCCTGGATGTCCTGTACCGACTTTGTACACCAGGCTAGCCTCAAACTCGCAGAGATCTGCCTGCCTCTGTCTCCCTGAATGCTGGGATTAAAGGTGTGCCTCACAACCCTCTTGTTCACAGTTAATGATTCTGAATTCCACATCAAGGAAACCTGTTAAATTCACTGTGTTTAACTCGATGTTTTCCAAATGAGACTAACCCCAAAGCCTTTTCTTGTGATGTCTATTTCCTTCCTGTGGGAATCAGCATCCTATGTCACACAGTGACAAACGGCCTCTAAGATGAAATCTAAATGCCTTAGGTTCCTATTTTGTGCAGACACTATAAGCCTATGGCTGAGCCCACAATACAAATTATCCTGTCTCATACCATTCTCCAAGGTGGATGCTATTTTTAAATCTATTTTGCATTTAAGAAAAAAAGTATGTTCAGAAAGCTCAGTGATGTTTCTGGCGTCATAGAGCTTGGGAGATGGAAAGAAAGAAAGAACTGGAACTTAGGTCTACTGACAACCTATGCTACCACCTTGGGCCTATGATATGCTAAGGTGGGAAAAGTGGATTGGACTCTCTCGTGGAGCCAGTGGGAGCCTCCTGAGGGTCCCTGAGCAGAAGCGGCCAGGAAAAAAAGTGGTGGGGGTGGGGGTTAAGCTTGGGTTGTGCTAGATGGAGAGTGTCTGACTGTAACCCCTGCCCATGCCTATAACCCTGCCCCTGTGGGGCACTTACTGGATTACTTGGTAATAGCGCTGGAGGAAAAGGGACCAGCCATCAGGGCTGAAGTACAGTGGGGCACTGGGGTCCTTGTCGATGTCCTTGTGGGCTATGCTGCTAAGGAATTCCTCACATGCACACAAAGCCTCATCCACCAAGTCTGCGGACACTGTCACTGCCCTTTTGTTCTGCTTCTTGGGATGTATGTATTCTGCAGAGAGAGAGAAGGGACCTGTAAACAGCCCATTTTTGAAGCAGGTAATGTGACACATGCCATCTCCCTTTGCTGACCTGAAGCCTATCACTTACCTGAGACCCAGTGTGAACTCAGTCCCCAGCCGCCCTGGGACATGCCCCTTCCTCCCCTGAAACTAACTGCTCTGAATCTACCTGCAGCCCTGGCCTCCTCTGTCCCTGCACCCTCTCACTTAACTAAGGCTCTAGTGTACATGCCAAGCTTTCTAGA